ATATACACACACACACACACACACACACACACACAGGATAGCTAACATAGTTGTACTACTGACTTTTATTGCTCTATTGAAATGAACAGTTAATGTTTAAGTGTATGATCATCCTTACATGTCTATATTTATTTATCTGAGTATCCAAATTGAGGATATCAATATGTAATACAGCAATCATTGTAATTTCCTATCAAAAAAGAAAAAAGATAATTATAGCACAGACTCAAAGCATTATTTTCATTACTATGAAAAGTGCACTCTTTGTGTAAATAAGTGCAAATTCTTCAGAGATACTATTTAGAAAAAATCACATGATGCAAATGTCTATATAAAGAACAATTATATGTCCTATGCAATAATGAAATATGCTTAGTGTTATAAAGCCCATGTATATGGAATTTGATGCTGAGCATTATACATGAACACATTATAAATGAACACATCTTTCTGGGTTTGTGGCTCTGTTAAAAACTGGTACTACTTCTCCAATATGGCCACCCCAATCTTACACAATAAAAAGTCGCTATAGCTCATATAGGTATAAATTGAGACAAAAATACATGTCTTATGCTTGATCAATACATAAAGAATAAATTATAAAATATTTTCATTACTTCAATCTCTGTTTCCAACTTTTAAATGATGGAAAATGACAAAAAAATATAGCAGAGTCTGTCACTAAAACAGCACTGTACAGGAAGCTTTAGATATAGTAAAAAGAGACTGAACCCATAGAACTGTAACAGGTTATAGTACTGTTGTCTGACACACATATACATACATGCATATGGAAATGAACCATATGATACCAAAAATGCCACTCCTTTACTGTAGCCAAGGAATTTAATTCACATATAGTAAAGAGGTGCTGCTGGTCATGAATTTATTCCTTAAATAGAAACAAGCAGGTGGTGACATTTTGATATTTTGGCATTTGTTCTTAGCTATTTATTGCTTGTAGATGTTGCTATGATTAACAATCTCTATTCTCTTCAATTTTTCGCTGCCAAAAGTGATACTTGGTAAGTAGTTCAGTAGTCCCCCATGTACTAATAAAGACTTGTATGTGGTTATAACACACAGAATAAGTGAGCAAACTGAGACTAGTTTAAAATTAATTCTACCTTGAGCAGAACTCTTTCAGGTTATAAGAATACGAATTTTATAAAAATGTCCTCTGTTAAGATCCAGAAAGAAAGTTTTGCATGAGGCCCCTATGACTTACTCCACCTTGTGGAGCTGTGTCTTTTTTATTGGGGTAAATGTGTTTAACATTTCCATTGTGACTACTTTTGGATAAGCAACTTGTCATTTGATTATGGAGAACAGGAACATCAGTTTCTCTGAAAGCCACCGTTTGGTGCCAAGCTTTTCTATGTCTCATGTTCAACATTTTCATGATAAACCTTAAATGTGAATCATTTGCTAAGAAATCTCAATTTCAGCTTTACAGTGATCAAGTTTAATAAAGCAGATTTATCAAAGTAGTTAAAGAGCATTTCACATTCACTTATTTTCTCATTTCCTAGAGATAGAGAAAGATGGGAAAGGGCTTTTTTAAGACAAAAGAAAACCAAAAGTTCATTTCTCTTCCAACATTTTGCAAAGCTACAGTGAAGATGCTTCATTTAGCTTACTGTCGTAAAACCTGCTATGTCTAACCTCCCAATTATAGATAATTTAATGCCATGGCCGGGATCTTGGGACCTAGGGGTCTCCCATGGCACGACCCGACCCCTTTTCCTCGGGTTCTCGCCCTTACCCTGGCAAGAAATGGAAGACTGGGGTAAGGCTGACTCAAGCTAAAGATCTCCCAAGTGGAAAATGGAAAACTCAAAGAACGATGAAATCAGAAACAAAAGTAATGCGAAGCAGGGGTTCATTTGTAAGCTGGCAAAGGCGGAGACAAAGCTACTGTGTGACAAGCAGCCTGGCAGGGAGAAGTTCAAGTGAACCCCTCAACCTGGTGTCCTTGCTCTGACCATACTTGTAGGAGTTCTAAGCCAGTCACAGTCTTAGCCTTTGAGGCTAGACTAAGCTGATGCTGGGGTGAACTGCTGCTAGGGTAAGCTGTTGCTAGCATGAGCACGGGGTTGGGGGACTTTGCAGTGAATATAAGTGGGCTCCTAAAGAGAACTGTTTTACACCTGCAAAGGTTTCACAAAGGATAATTTCTAGCAAGCCAGTGGTCATTTTTATAACTGTCTGCTCATCAGCAGTGCCACTTTAGCCCCTTCACGCCCTGTGCTGCCCATCACCCCTCTACCTGACCCTACAATAACACTGGTATAAATTAGCATCTCTCTGTTGTGTCCAGTTCAATGCAGAAGTAGTTTTAAACCAGCATCATGCTGCTCACTTGTACAAAGACACATCCTAGGTAAGTAATGCAAACACGAAGTTGTTTTCAGAACCTCAGTTTTCATGCATCTAGAGTAGATGAAACAGCTAATTAGCTGTTTTGATCTCATGCAGTACACAGTGTGCCTTGCACAATGTTGGAATACAGTTTAGCAGCAGCTAATGGAAAAAAAGTTTCAACAAATGTTTGCATACAGTGCTGGCATTTTAAAGCCCACAGAGCATTCGGACCACTTCAATAGATGCACCACAAGAAATGAGCCTACATTTTACCCACAATCTCTTCATTGTAAAATCCAAGACTATCTCTGATTCCCTAAGTTTAAAAAAAAAAAGAAAACAGATTTGGCTTTTCACCAAACCGACACAAATTATCTCTTGGGCTACTATAATCAATGACTTACCTTCAAAAATTTCTATATTATTAAATAAAAAATTGCAGTGAAGTCAACATTTTCCCTGTCTCATCCTCCATCTCCTGAACTCTAGATAGCATCTTACTATTCAACATCTAACACTGAACCTAAATGAGACTAAAAACTACTGGATAGGGACCCACTAGGGATCTTGGCTCTATCTGAACTAATTTATGACAGGGAGTTTCAGATGAAGCCATTATAGGACCACGGAAGACAGACCAAAGCAATTGGTGGTCAGGCCCATGGACAGTTCTGAGGAATACTGAACACCATTTTCTTTCACTCACCACATGAAGAAGTGAAGTTTATGGAATGACTTAAATCATATACCCTATCATAGGGAACAGCTAAATCACAGGAACACCAAGTCCTTCTATTGCTTCACCGCATCTTCACTAAGAACAAAGAGCACCTAAGGCAAGATGCAATTTTGCAGCCTATGAGTTTCTAAACCAGGCACATTAGAGAAGGCCATCATCATGGCCTCCGCAAAGGAAATTTCTAGATGCTCAAGAATCCTCTTCTTTCCAAAAGGACATATGTAGACTGCGATAATCATGTTTTCAGAGCTTCACCCTTAAGAAGGGGTAGAATTAAGCTTTCTTTGAAATCCTTGATCCATTGAAGAGCATGACTCAGCAACACACCAAAGCTCAAAAGCTCACAGATAAATATTCTGGGGTTGTCCAGAGATCTACCATCTGGTGTTTAACTGAGATTCTATATTCTCAAGGAAATGTAAGCTTTATGCAGTGGCAGTATTGCAGCCAGTGAGGTTTATCCGAAGCATAACTAGTGCTAGTTGAAAACTTTTCTCAAAGAAATGTAAATTTAAAACACTTACATAATTTAACTGGAATATGTAAACTTTCATGTTAATCCTAGGTAAGAAAAAACTCTGATATTCCATCCCTTTCCTCAAGAGATAGGGGATAGTTTTTATCTGTAGGTTTTCTTGGTTTTAACTTTCCACACTCTGCTTTGTTGCAGGCCTCCTAGACCGGTAACCAGCATGAACGATACCCTGTTCTCTCACTCCGTTCCCTCCTCAGGAAGTCCTTTTATTACCAGGAGGTGAGTTTTAATCCTACTTCAGTAATGAGTCTTGATTCTATGGAAAGAAAAATATCGTCTTGTAAGTCAACTGCAGAGGAGTATTATTAGAAACTAGATTATAAATATCCATCACAAGTTTTCAATTTCATTCATGTGGATGCATTTAAGGAGGGCTGGAGTGGCTTTGGGAGTTAATGTCAGCCCTGGAAATCAGTCTCCCCAGAGTAAGAATGTGGGGTGTGTTTCACATTTACTACTGAAACACTTGTATTCTGTCTCACTGGACAAGGCATGGTTATGCACCTAGAGTGGGCTGTCGAAGCCAGGCAATTGGACTTTCAAGATGTAATGGGGTATTACTATTCAGATTCTTAAATGTCTTATTATTTAAGTTGTCAGATATAAAAGAATCCTCTTCCCAGTGAACTTTGGAGTTCCTGGGGCTAGAGGCTGAAGACTGAACTTATAAATGTAGTTTGCCATATAAATAATTTCATGGATAATAGTGAGAATTTCAAAAATGGTGGCTATGTGGCTCATCTTTGCACAAGATCCCCTCTGTGAATAAATAACAGGAGAAGTAGATCCTTCTCCAATGGTTAGATTCAAAACACAGGGATCAAGAGGTGCTCTGGGTCATTTGATCAAATTTATGAATCAAGCGCCAAAGAATATTCAATAAATACATGGAGAAGGTTCCCAGGAAAGGAGAAATAATGGTAAGGGAAATTAGAGTAACAGAATGTAAGATCTCAAGGGACTTTCGCCAGAAAAACAATACAGCCTCATATTTTACAAAATGCATATAACCTATCCTTTTCCTGGAGAGGTTTTTAAAGTACCTATTTCACTGTAGTATCATGGTACATTCTACTGCAGATTTAAAGACAGTGAGACTCAACACATTGCTCGTTTATCCCAGCTTTTCTGTATTTACCAATCAGTAGGAACCTGAGATGAAGATGTTCCTCATGATTGTCATAAGCAGAATAAAGGGAATGTGGCAGTACGCGGTGTTTCCAATGCATAAATTAAGTCTGAAGCCAGCTGGAAATGAGGATGCAGTGCTACTGAAGAATGTCCACAGTGAAGCAATCTGATTTAGGCCCTCAGTAACTTCCTGTTAGCACTTCTCTTTAGAACTCCAGGAAATGAAACCATCTTTCCTGAAAGAAAATCATAGACTCTAGAGGCCTGTACATCTATCTAGGGATACCTGATGTGACATTTAAAGTTGTGCTTTTACTACAAAGCTCTGCATTCTGCAAATTCCAAGGAGAGGTAGACCCCATCCTTACTGAAGGTTGCTTTATATCATTTCAGCTCGGACGGTGCTTATGGTGGCTGCGTCTAGATGGATAACATGACTTCCTCTACCCTAAAATATTCCTCTAATACTCTGAGCTGTTCTGCTTCCTTCAGGGTTCGTGGTACCCAAAATATAATCATTTCCCATTTTTCCCACTCTCAGTCCTTTTAGCATGTTTTCTGTGAACCACAGACATGTTGTTTAAAGCTTGCAGTTCTTCCTTTCACCACCGAGATTGGACTCTGGGTTCTGTTTTGAGAGTGCTGTTTAATAAAGCTGTATACACTGAATGTCCTTTTGCTCTGAGTGGGCTTTTCTCTGTTCGTGGGAGATTTTAATGAGGTCTCCTTGTTTGCATCCCTCAGGTTACCTGAGGGGATAAGTGCAGCTAGCCCTGGGGCTGAAGAGCATTTGCTCATAAAGATGTATGTAAATCAGCTTGCCCACAGCTCACGGTCAGTATTCCAGTCACCCTGAACCACTAATCTTAGTAGTAGCTCCATAGATAGATGGCTCATTGGTCTACTCTAGCACTAAAATCCTCTTGCATGTCTTAATGGAAATAAGGTCTTCGGGGTTTTACTGAGATTCTGTTGAAAATTTCAACCTGGACTGGATTTCTGGGATCTTTCCTCTCTTCTCACTTGGTTTATAATTTCATAACTTCACACCAGTACACAGGAGGGGCACGTATGTGAAGAGTGCTGAGCTGGGTCTCATTTGGACAAGTTTCTGATTGTATAATTTGCAAGACCCTAGATTGCTTAAGACCCCTGAATTAAAGAACCTCTAGGAAAGATCCTTGCTCAGTGAGGCTCAGATTTGATTGCAATGAAAAACTGGAGGACAAAGAAGCCTTAAGACTTTTCTGTCCCACTAGGCCAAGACCCTATGCAGCCCCGAAACAGGACAATCTGATTTCAATTTCAAAAGCAGTTTCTTCCTATCAGGGCTTAATTTCCATCACTTGATAACGCAGCTGGTGATCCACTTCTGCTCCCTTTACCGCATTAACACTCTAAGGTTGGTGGAAATGCATCAAGTGAGACAAAGGAATAAGTAGAAGGTCCTGTTCTTTCCAAAACTGGAACTAAATTAAAGAAATATGAACAAGAGCTCTATCCTCATCCTCACCACCCCTTTTAATGTCAAATAAAACCTAAACAGGCCAATAATAGTTCTGGTCAGTATTATGGCAACAATAAGAAAGTAGACACTTGCCAGGTAGATATTTTATTTAGCTGATGGTGTCAGTCTTCTGTATGGTGACTTGGAAATCAGAGATCTTCGAAAGTCAAAGCAGAGAGAGGAGAACTAAAATCAGCACTGCAGAATCCTCACTGCAAGCTCCTGATATTACTCCCCTAGAGTCTCCTCAAGCCTATGACTTTGATCTTCAAAAGGCATTCGGGTGTTTCTTTGAAGTCCTTTGACATCCTGGTATCTACCTCACAGAGGTTTAGCAGTGCGTACCTCTGGTTGTCACCACCATCGGTCATGTCCCCTTATACCCTTTTCCAGCTATATACTTGTCTTGCTTTTCCATTACCTAAAAGAAAAGAAAGGAGTCTCAAAGACACTCTTCCTTAGTCCTTTGAGATCTTCTTGTCTCTGTGTGTATGTCTTGGTCAGTGGGAGGGTGGTGCACGTGTATACACATTCACATGTGTATGCTCAATGCTGGTTACCAGTCAGGTAAGATGCAGGTCAAAAGACACAATTCATAGACCAATTTACTTCATTCATTTTCTTGACCATAAACTGTATCCCTAAACCTAAATTGTGAGTCTGTAAGTTTATAGGAAAGAATGGTTGGATCGATGGAAAGCTATTGTCTCTAGAAAAAAGAGCTCCAAAAGCTAAATATGGCATGTCAGCACTACTATCTAAGTTTATAAAAGATGGCATAGGCTTATTGCAAACATTTTTGCAAGGACTGACCACCAAAGCCCTCAAAAGGCCCTTTCTCCTCTTCAGTGTCCACAGCCTTATGCTTCTGAGGACCTGCCGTCTCTGTTGGCATCATGCCTTCTTTGTAAAAATTTCACTTATCTTCCCCAAATCCTCGCCTAGTTTATATGAGAGACTTAAGCAGTCCTTTCCTCTGTTAAATGAGCTTCTTTAATTACAGCCCATGTTCTTCACTTGCCATAATAAAGACACCGAAGGTTTGAACAGCTACCTTCTTTGCCTCCAATTTTAGAAACACTGCTTGAAGTTTTCACAGGTGTGTTCATGGTTGTAAATTCTGAAGTAGTAACCACTCACAAAGACAAGCATTTTGCTATTATGTATAACACCTAGCAGATCTTACTGCTCTGTCAAATATTAGAAAATTGCTTATAATTTACATAATATGTCAAATATATCCTACTACATATGCTCTTTTCTGGTTTGTCACAGTGCACTGTACTACCAATGACACTGTTCTAGGTGCGGTGGTACTTACGGGAAGGACTCACCCCAAACACTTCCCAGATCTTAATTCTTCCCAGTGGAGCAGCAGTTGTGAGTTATTTTTCTTGGTTTACGTGTTAGTCATTTGGTTGACTGACAAGTTTTCAATCAAGGAAAGGCTAATTCATTGTGTCTTTTTCAGTTTTTTCAAATATTTTTACTTAAAGATTCTTTATCTGCCAACTCAGACTTCAAATCTGGCTTTAAATGTTGAAACTAAATTTTAAATACTTATGATTTCATTACCAAAAGTGACTAGAAATAAAATTAAAACACTGACTTTACCTTTTGCTTCCAAAGTTTTCTCCATGGCTATTTTTTTATCTAAGATTAAAGCCCATCCAATGTCAGTCATAAAAATAGATACATATATCAGAAGCATTTATCAAAATGACCCGAAAGAAGCAGAAGTGGTTTTTTGGAAAATGCATTTCAGATTTACACAAATATCCAGATAATATTTGGGTGTAATTCTGTTATATTAGAACAAATATCCCAAATCAACCTCTGACACCATTCTAAAGATTTCCTCAGTCTTTTCACACTACCTGCATGCTGTGCAAAATTACATGAAATTTTAAAAATCATCCATCCCTGTGGATAATTTTTTTAAGTCATATAGTTGCATAGCTCCGTTTTTATGTCAGATTTTTTTCAAATGTTAATTAACCTAGTCTTCATGCCCAATTCTAACAGTTTTCCGTATTAACCTGTAAGTGACCTATAATTAAAACCCATAGTCGCCTTTCTTCTTCGCTTCATTAAGCTTTCTACTTTTGCTAGAATGCTTCAGTCTGTTTTTGCACATATCCTGTACCTACCAGAGTTTTTTACAGGCTCTGTTGGCAAAAGTACAGTTGGTATGGCTTGACAATATTGGGGAATATAGTAAATGCAATGAGTCAAATATGACCTGAGAATTCTTATTTCTTCCATAGTACCTGTTCAAGATGGTCCAGCCTTTATACCAGTCTTAATTAATGGGCAGCTAATTTTTAGTATGAGACACTGCCCTATTTTTTAATGTGTGTTGGCTGATTTGCATATAACAGATATTTTATATTTCAGACCTAAGCTATTGACCACTAGACAAGGAAAGAGAAACAATCTTTCAGGAAATTATCCTTTGACAAGACTAATTCATGGATTCTTTTATTGCACTTAAATTAGCTTGATGGTCTTATTACTAGGCAAGGAAATTACAGTAAGATGCAGAATTTTAATTCACAATTGAAAATTACTTAAGATGAGA